TCATTCCCCTACTTCAACCCTCCAATTGTTTACGTGGCTGGCAAGTCCCTGCGTCATTTGGCCCTGGCCTGCATCTTAAACTTCAACTCCAACCACTCTGACCTTGTATATATTCTGCTCTAGCCACAGTGGCATTCTTTCTGTTTCCTAAACCCACCAAGCTTGATCCAACCTCAGGGCCTTTGGATGTGCCCTCTCCTCTGCCTGGAATCCTTTCCTCCTTACCATCTATTTGTGTAACTGGCTCCTTCTTGCCATTCAGATCTCAGTCCAAAGGTCACCTCCTTACAGACCCTATCCCTATCTAAAGTTGGCCCACCCACCCTCACTCTCCCCGCCAATCACTGCCTAGGAACTCATCTTACGTTTCCTCCACAGTTCCTATTACTATCTCATTATCTTACTTTTGTGTGTTTGCTTGCTTATTTGTTTAGATTGTCTTCCCCACTAGAATTTCAACTCCCAGAAGGCTGTCTGGTTCACTGCTCCGATCCCTAGCCCCTCGACCAGTGGCTGACATACAGGACCTGCTCAGGAAATATCTCTCAAATTCACTCATTCGTTCAGTGACATATTTATTCGTTCAAGCACATATTTATTGAGTGCTTACTGCTTAATGGCTCAGGGGGCCTTAGGGTACAAGGTAACTAAGATGTCTGAAGTCAGTGGGTTCCATTACCCAGCTCTGACTTCCCCATCCAACCTTCTGTTTCCTTATCCATAAAATGGGAACAATACCTATTTGGTGCAATTGTTATGAGAATTAACTTGTAAAAGGCTACCAGACAGACTGGCACATAGTAGGTACTCATTAAATGAGTACTTTCATCCCATGACCAAGGGTAATCTGTCTGCCAGAAACTGTGGGCACGGGCCTCGGAGCTCAGAGACAGCTGTGAGACAGCTGGATGCCCACGTGGGAGGGAGATGAAGAACAGATGTAGGTAGGAGGGCCCTAAGGTCAACTGGTGACTCCCTTGGTCAGAGGAACAAGGGGGAAAGGACCATAAACAAGCCAGGGCAGCTTCTTAAAATCACAGAGAGAGTGAGACCAGCCTGGGGCCACAGGCTGTCTCCCAGAGGTTTCCCAGCTCCAGCCTCCAAAGCCGGCAGTCAGGCCAAAGAGTGTTTCCAGATCTCAGAGTCCTGCCTATCATACAGCCCACCTAAGGTGTCCACTGGCCAGGGGCAGATAGAAGTCTGGCAGGGACTAAAAGACACCAGGCTTCTGGGCAAGGTTTGAAAACAGTTGTCTTTCCATTCGATAGAAAACTGCAGCCACTAAAAAAGAATGAGAATGCTTTTTATGCACTGATATGAGTGGTCTCTAAGAGATGCTACTGAATAAGAAATGATGAGCTTTAAAGGGATTAAATAAAAATATAATACTATGTATGTGTGTTTGCTCATGTATATCGCCACTATCTCTGGAAGAATGTGTAAGAAGTTAGTGACTGCAGTTGTCTCCCCGAGCGTAAATAAGTGGTTGAAGGATGGGATGGAAGAAAGACTTTTGACTAAAATGTCCTTCACTCCTTTTGAATGTTGAATTCCTTGAATGTAATACCTATTCAAAAATAAACACTTGAAATTTGAAAAGGAAAATGCAGCTGCCATCCACCTTAGAGAACTGCTTTATCCCTCCTCTTCCACTAAAGGGAATGAGGGACAGCAAACTTCTTCCAGAATGATCTACCTAAAAAAGTGGAGCTGGTTCTATCAGTTTTCTTTATATCACTCCTCTCTAAATCCCTTCAATGACACATAGCAGAGCACACTGTATAAGCTCAAAAAAAGTATTTACTGAATGAGTAAGTGAATAAATGCATGAATGAACCAGATCACATGTTGTTTCTTGATCTTTATGAATTGATATAAAAAAATGTGTTAAGCAAAAAAAAATAAATAAGGTCACAAAATATTTAGTCAAGAATGGTCCTATTTTTGAAAAATAAAATAATTACATATACATACAATTACACTGCATTTTAGTATATCCATGTATATATCCATATATTAGTGTATCTATATCTATATCTATAAATTATTGGTCTACAAATAGAAAAAATTCTAGAAAAACCCCAAACTTGCTGATTCTATATCTTGATCTTAGTGGTGATTACACGGGTGTAAACATGGGAAAAAATTCATCAATCTGTACTTAAAAATTGGACACTTTCCTATAGTTATATCTCAATGTTTTAAAAGCAAAATACACACACACACACACACACACACACACACACATAACATCCAAAATATTAGATATCATTTCCTGGGACATTTGGGACTATGAGGAGTTTTGATTTCCAATGTACATCTGAATATTTTACAAGCACACAAGTATGAATCTTTTTGAAATATACATATATTTTTTTAATTCACATTTTCAGACTCTTTAGCTTAGCACACGAAGCCTTCCACTGCTTCAACTGCTTATACCCTTCATTCCAACCACATCAAACTGCTTATATTTTTCCAATGTGTCATGCTGTTCTTACCTCAGGCCTTTACCTTTGTTGCTCTCTCTTCCTGAGACACCCTCTCCACTTCCTTGACTCCTCCCACCTACCTAACTTCGTCTGTCGTTTAAGCCTCAACTGAAATGTCACCTCCTCCAGGAAGCCTCCCTTGTTCTCTCCAGGCAGGGTCAGAGGCTCTAGAAATACCTCAGAGTTGACTCTATCACAGCACTAGACTCACTTGTCCATCTCACCCGTTCCACCATGAGCTGCTTGAGAGAGCAACTGGATTGATGTGGCCACAAGCCACAGGACGTCTGGGGCCACCAGAAGCCGGAAGAGGAAAGGAAGGCCCCTCCCCTTGAGCTTCTGGAAGGAGTGCAGCCCCTCCATACCTTGAATTCAGCCTGGTGATGCTTATTTCAAACTTCTGCTTCCAGAAGAATGAGAGAATAAATTTCTCTGTTTTAAGCCACCAAGTTTGTAGTAATTTGTAATAACGGCCCTAGGAAACTAACACAATTGGTACCTCCTTTCTGGAAAACAGTTTGGCAAAGCCATATTGTAAAATTTGTTATGTGCATAATGATAAGCCAGCAATTTTCCTTGGGATAAGCCCTGAAGAAATACTTGCCCAGAAGACAAATACTAGAACATTCCTTGCAATATTGTTTATAATGACAAAACGTGGAAACAACATATAATCACATGTTCATCCATAGGAGAATGTATAAACTGTAGTAGAGTCACATAATGGAATATTACACAGCAGGAAAAATGACCGAACTACAGCTATTTGCAACAAACATAAATCTCACATTCCTAACGTTTAGTGTAAGAAGCAAGTCACACACACACACAAAAAAGTATGATTCCATTTACATAAAGTTCAAAAACAGGTAAAACTATACAATACATTGTTCTGGTTACTTGAAGGAAAGGAGGGTACAATGGAAAGGGACAGCACATAGGGGGCTCCTGGGTAGGTGACCATACATTCTATTGTCTCACTGGCACATTTTGAGGCATGAGAAGGAGGGTGCTGGTAATAATTATGGCAGAAAACAGGTACAAACCAAAACTGTCCCAGACAAACCAGAACATAGGATCACCCTACTTCTCAGATCTAGTAAGTTTCTATTTCACTGTCTGGTTGGTGTGTGGACAAGGGTATGTGTTTTATTAGTGGTTTTGAGACTGGAAAAAGACATTTTCTATGTATGATGTATTTCATAATCACTGTTTCAACCAATAAATGAGTAAAGTCAGTTTCAGAATTCGTTCAGTTTTTAGTAGATGCAGATTCTGGCTAAATTCGGCAGAAAAGGGGTTTATGACAGGGAGAGAGGTGAGCTCACACAATTGCCAAGAAGGCTGGAGAATGAGGTCAGAAAGCAGGCACACACAGAGGGCAGGCACACACTGGGCACCTCAGCCAGAAACTGGCCAGACCAGGCTACTGAGGACACCCGGCTCCTCCTGCTGAGCCGACGGGGCCAGCCTGGGCCTATGTACGCTTCTGCTGACCTCACTGCTGCCACAGTCCCTGGAACCTAGATCGTATAGTCGTTTCTACACCACTCCCCAAACCCAAATTTCTCCTTGTCCTTGCTACTTCACCAACTGCAGGGTTAAAATCCTTGGTGAGTATGTCTCATTGGTCAAGCTCAGGGGTCGGCAAATGGCGGCTTGTGAGCCACATGCGGCTCTTTGGGTACGCTCAGTCTCAAAACTTTGCCGACCCCTGGAAGAGCCAATCCTGTCCCTCACAACAATTTAAAAATGATTCGAGAGCCACAAATATATTTTTTACATAACCAGCATTATGTGAATCATATCCTTTAAAAAGTTTATAAATGAAACTATGATAGTTTTTTCATTTTCAATTTTCCTTCAGAGCCTGCGGCTCGCGAGTCACAGTTTGCTGACCCCTGGCGGCTCTTCTGTCTCAAAAGTTTGCCCATCCCCGGTCAAGCTGGCTGTGAGGAATGCTGAGAAAGCAAGTTTCTGGCAACTTCTACTTCTTTGGTGTGGACGCTGCCTGCCCCCATGAAAGCCATAATCTGGGGGAGTCCCAAATTCAGGATGGGGACACAAATGCTGAGCAGCTTTAAAATGGAATGCCCACAATGTTTGCCGGGCGTGTCACACATAAACACCAAATTGGACCTGAAAGAATCTGAAGTGCCTCAGATGTAGTCAAGTTCTAGAATTCCAGAACTCCCCTCACCAACAGGGCTCAGGTTAAGACTTACAGGTCCGTGCAGTTAACATTCGAGTTGGTGTTGGGGTCACGGTTAAGGAAAGCAGTCATATTTAATAAAAACAAACACTGATTTGCTCACCCGTCGGTTCCCGCTCCCTTCTCTAAGTGGGTTCTAGACCAGCTGGGTTCCTGATTGGGCCAACTATGGTCACCTGATTCAAAGCTAGGCAACCCATTGGCTGGCCGGGAACCAATTAGAGTTCTTCTCCCGCAGTTCCCAAACTTCCTCAGTTGGTCATGAACCTAGTGACTCAGTGTTTTTTGCACGGCTGCTTTAGGCCAAAAGAAATACTTAACAATCCTGTTTATTAAGTGGTTAGGCGCAAACTACTTAAATATTTACAGCTTAACAACTTCGCAGACTTTGAAAGGGTAAGTTGAAAGAAAAGTATTTTAATTCATTCTTAACCACAATTGCTACTTAATGGGATGTGTGTGCCTGTTGGGACTGCACAAGTTCTCAAACCTTGGAAGCAGATTGGACACCACCTTATTTCCTGTTCCACCTTGATTTTCAAGTAGGAATTGCTTTTTTTTTATTATAGCAACCACGGAAAACCTAGCTTGCAAAGATATGACATCATGGAAAGGAATGTCGTGCAACGTAATGCTGAAACTACCTTGAGCTAGCAGTCACGAGGCACCTGAGAGATGTCAACTATTACTGTACTTGCCTTGAAGATGTCAAGTATTCCGTGGTGCCCCTGTGAGTTTGTTGCAGAGCCCCAGGCCGCCTTGGTACACAATTTGAAAATTGCTTCTCTAAAGTATAATTAAGAGACAGAGGAAGTAGCTGGCCTAACAGTGGTAGAATCAGGGAAGGGTTACATGTTTTCATACTGAGGCATGTTGAAAAAATAATCAGAAAAAACCCGTTGGCAGAGAGAAGAGGGAGAATCAAAACAGAGACAGGAGGCCCCAGAAGGAGCAGAAAAGAAAGGGCAACCTAATGATATACTGCCAGCGATTGGATTCCATGATCTGGCCCAAGAATCCATGCCTGACATTGAACTCCTGACCTGTTGCCCTAAACCAGCCCCTCCCAAAGTCTTTCCTGGACTCAGGGAATGACGGCTGCTCCATCCTTCCAGTTATTCAGGCCAAAATTTTGGCTCATCCTTGACTCTCACATCCCACACCCAATTTGTTAATAAATTCTGTTATCTTTTGCTTCCAACATAGATTCAGAATCTGACCACGTCTCCCAATCTCCGTACTACTGGTCCAGCCACCATTGCCTACACCTGGACAAGGCCGTGCCTCCTCAGTGGGTGCCCTGCTTCTGCCTGGCCTATTCTCAGCCCAGCTGCCAGAGAGATCCTCTTAAAATGTAAGTCAATTCTGGGCTCTGAACCCTCCAATGACCCCCACCCCCCATCTCACTCAGAGTCAAAGCCAAAGCTCTTCACATAGCCATGAGACCCTATGGGAGTTAGCCTCAGGCCCCTGTGACTATGTCAGCCACTGCTATGACTTTCACTTCATTCCAGCCACACCAGCCTTCTCTCTATTCTTCAAACATACCAGGCACAGTCCTGTCTCAGAGCCTTTTGCACTGGCTATTCCCACTTTCTGGAACATCATCCCCAGATGTCCACATGGCTCGTCCTCCACCACTTCCCTCAGTCTTGGCTCAAATGTCACTTTGCCAGCGAATCCTTCTCTGACCACCACTATAAAATAGAAACAGCCCTCTACCCTCCCATCACTCCCTGGGCCCTCCTCACCTCCGGGAGAGGTCACTGAGTTGGACACCTGACACTGACTCAGTGAGCTTGTGTACAAAGAAGTGTATCTAAAGAATTCTTTCTTTTTTTTCCAACAAATATTTACTGAGCACCTACTATGTGCCAGGCATTGAGCTGGGCACTGAGGGTAAAGTGGCTGCTTCAGTTTAAAGCTAACCTCCTAAAATCACCCACAATCGGTGTCTTGGACCATGTTCCCCAGATAACCCTGCCCCTCCCTCTCCTCTACTTGGGAAGTATAATTTTGGACGTACTTAGAACTGCCTGGAAATCCTGAGTTAGATTGCCTGGGTAAGTCCCCTTCCCAGGTCCCTACAGTCACCACCTGGGAATCACCCTGCCCTGGCCTGAATCCAGCTCCCATTCTAGACCTGCATGTGGCAAGGCTGGCCAGGGAGGCCCTCTGCTCCTCAGCCTGGGGGCTGCCAGGGCCATAAGCAAGAACACAGGCCAGGCCACGGGTGCAACTTGATTTCTGACTTTTGTATATTTAGACATAATGGTATGTGGGCCTCCATTTGTACTCTTATCCCAGACCATGGAAGTGTTTCAGACAGGTTCTAGATTCTGGTACAGGAATGGCAAACACTGCCATGACTGCCCCCTCCCAGGCCACGGCAGACATCAATAATGGATCACAGCATTCCTTCTCCCTGAGATGTGGCCTCAACTCCTTTTCACACAGTACCCTGGGAAGCCACTACTAATGGCCCATCAGCATGGGAGGTGCAAGGGGATTTCCTCTCCCTGTTCTAGCACTCTCTACACGGCAGTCTGCACCGCACAGCATTAGTCAAGAGGCCTCATTCTTGTCTGGAAACTTTTTTTTTCTTCTGTTGAAGAGAAATCGCTGATGCTAGCTGTTTGTGGAAAGTAGATAAACACTTGAATGCTGTCTTTGGAGCTCCTCAGAAATTCTGATGTTATAAGGAGAAAAGGAAAAATAATGAATAAAATAACTCCCCATTTGGGGAGCAATTACTTAAATCAAAAACATTTTTTTAAAGCCCACTCTTTCCGCTGAAGAGATTAATGTTTTGCATGAAGGCTTAACAACACGTCCTGACTCCCAGGGTTTTTTGGCAGAACAGAAACTCCTGATGGCTCTTTTTGTTTGAAGGAGTTGTTTTCCTTCTCTATGTAGATCTCTGTTTCTTTGGCTGTTTCTTTCTGTTTCTCTCATTCTCTGCCTCTTTATATTTTCTGCTCCATATGTATTTGTCTCTCTCAGTCTCAATCTCTTTGTCCCTCTCTTCCTTGGTGGAATGGCAACTGGAACGGCAGCCCCTCTCTTTATGCGAATCTATCTCTTGGAGTATTTCTGTATGCGTGTGTGTGTGTCTGTGTGTGTCTGTGTCTATGTTTGTCTCCATCTCTGTATGTGGGTCTCGCTCTCAATCTTTCTCAGTTTCTCTCTTACCCTGTATATTTGTGTCTGACTTTCTCTATGTAAGTCTCTCTCACCTACCTTGCTTTTTTCACATTTGTGTCTCTGTCTCTGTAAATTTCTCTTTCTCTACTTCTCTCTGTATTTCTCTCTCTCCATCCCCCTACTTGAGTTCTCTCTTCTCTCTCTTCGCTCTCTCCTAGATTCCTGAGGTAGGATCCCGACAACAAGACAGTGAATATAAAGTGAAGTCACCCAGAGGTTTCCAAGCTGCCAGATGTGCAGCGTATTTAGACAGAACAGCTGGATTATTGAACAACCTCCTTGTTTTTCTAGAACGTCGGCCGCCTGGGCGTCTCAGGCAGTGTCTATTTGAGGACACACACGTGTATGTTACCCGTGTGTTCCTTTGTGAGACCCTGTGCAAAAGTCACCTATCTCTCAAAGCCCCCACGTGTATCCGTTAATGTGATCGGATTCAGATTTCTTTCCCTGAACCTTCCCTCCTCTTCTCCTCCTGTGTAGACTGGTTTAGAAACCTGGTGCTGTTTAAGCATCTCAAGGACCTTCCATCTGCATCCTGTAATCTTCATCATGGTCTCATGAGTGAGGTGTTTGGGAAGATAAAATAAAATAAGGAAGGAGGGTCTAAAGGAAGGCCTGAAGAAAACTGAAAAGAAAACCCTCAAACACAGGTACCTGTGTTATTCTCGGCCCCATTTTACAGATGAAAAACACTGATAGGCAAACCCTGGCACCCAAAATCTCAACAGCACTAGTACTCCAACCCAGAACTCTTAGCTCTCAGCATACAGCTCAACTCCCAGCATCACAAACCACAAAGCTGGAAAAGACCTTACAGACGAGGCAGGGTGGTGCTGTGGGCATTGCCGCAGGCTCTTCCATCAGGTAGATAGCCCTGAGTTCATATCCCTCAACTCGAATTTAGAAGCTGTGTGGCCTTGGGCAATCTGCTTTAGCTCTCTGAGCTTCATCTGTAAGAGGGAAATAATAATCGCATCTACCTCAGAGGGATGCTGTGAAGATCTGATGAAATAAAACATGTAAAGTTCTTGGACGATAGTAAGTACTCAAAAAATTTACTATTGTTGATACTAGTATTAGTAAGAGACTGAGGCCCAAGTTCACACAAACTAGTTAATGGCACATCCAGACTTAGCATCCAGGCCTCCCACCCTCATTCCAGTGTGTTTTCACCAAGAGAGTTTCCTGCTACCTTCTCCCCACCAAGAATCACAAAAACATTTTTGAGCACTCTCTATCTGCCAGACATGATCACAACACCTTACACACACATGCACTTATTTAATCCTCAAAACAACCCAGTGACATAGGTCCCATTCTCATCCTCATTTTATAAATGAAAAAACTGAGGCCCAGAGAGCATAAGAAAATTGCCCAAGGTCACACAGCAAGTAGATGGCAGTGTTAGGCGGGCAATGCAGGTGTCGGGCACCAAAGTCCATCTTGTAATCCCCACACTTGCCCCGTTTTCTGTTCATATTCTTGGGGATTTACCCCAAATCATGGTTGTTTTTCTTTAGGCTGGCGCTCTCTCTCTCTCTCTCTCTCTCTCTCTCTCTCTCTCTCTCTTTCTCTCTCTCTCTCCCCCCCCTCCTTCCTTCCCTCCCTCTCCATTTACTTACATAAGTAACAAATGAATACATTCTCAGTGGAAAAAATTAGGGGGCATTACTGATAACACTCAAGTCTGCTTTGATGTTCCCCCTTAATTTCCACTGTTAACAATTTGGTGAGAATCCTTCCAGACTTTTTCCTACTTATTTACACACACACTAAGTGCTCTTTTTCAGACCCTTTCCACTGGGCTTCTAGAAAACACTAGTTGAGGCAGCAAACCTGAGACTGAAGGAAGGTGATGCGGGCTGAAGACGTCTCATTTTCTGTTGCCTAAAAATCAATCACCTGTAAATATCCTGAAGCTTTGGGCAGGTCAAGGCCCAAGGGGCCAGAAGTCTGGATGCATAATGTCTCTTCAGCTTTACACAAAGACAACATCAGAGAAAGAAGGGTTTAGCTGTTCACATGACAACAACTCCCCACATGTGGTTCTGAGCCCTTGAAATGTGGCTGGTCCAAGCTGTCAGCATAAAATATGCACTAGATTTTGAAGCCTCGATGCATTAAAAAAGAGGCTAAAACATTTCATGAATACTTTCTTTATACTGATTACATGTTGGGATGATAATATTTTAGATATATTGGGTTAAAGAAAATATGTTATTAAAATTAATTTCACCTGTTCTTTTCACTTTTTAACGTGGCTCCTGGAAAAATTTGAATTCCATATGTGGCTCACTTTCCATTTCTAATGGATAGTACCTTTCCAAACAGTTGTCCAAAGAGACACTGTTTTTAAAACTTCACTGAAAATAATAATAATAGTTCAATTGTATTGGATGCTCATAGGCCAAGTTAAACACTTCCATCTGTCATCTCACAATAGCTGTAAGCACTATTCTTACCGCCATTTCACAGAGGAGGAAACTGAAGCTCAGAGAGGTGAATTCATTTGCCCAAGGTCACACAGCCAGGAAGCTGCAGAGTAGCAATCTGAAAACATCACTCATGGGATTAACCCAGAGCAGTGACAGAACAAGAAAGCCATTCATGGGGACTCACCTCAGAGATGAGTGTGGTCAGAAGGAAGCCTTTGAAAAGTTTGTTGGCTCGGGTAAAGGGCAGAAGCCAAGCCCATCTTATAAATAGCCTTCTAAGGAGGGATTTTGTTAATTTGGGGGCCAGACGAGAAACCAGCCAGACTGCTCTCACACCCCTTGCTCTGCCCTGCAAGGTCCACCCCGTGCTATAAACTAATACAGAGCACACATGTGAAGAGTAGTGGTTTGATTTATTAACAGTCTGGGGTACGATAGACTCAGTGAGGCCCTCCCTAGAAACAAACGTGTTGCCCAATATCTGTGCTCCCTTTTCGTTTAGCAATAAAATCACGCATGGCCATCCAGAATAGAGATTCTGTTTCATCGCAGCTCCATTGCAGCAAGATATGACCATATAGTTACCTTCCAGACAATGGGATATAAGCATACATGGTATGTATAAGTTCTAGGAAGTGTACTTAAAAATACAGGACGTGCCCTTCATTTTCCCTTTACAAGTTCTCCGTGGTTGAAAGGCA